ACACACACACACACACACACACACACACACACACACACACACACACACAAATTATACCAAAAGTTGCAGAGAAAAAATTAAGTCACGTATAAAGGCAGAAGGAACATCTCCTTAAGTATAAGAATGCTTCAAAACAGCTGGTGGAGCAAAGAATATATTGCAGTTCCTGCAAGTGACATGCGTGGGCAGGGATCTTAGCATTCAGAACTGAGGCTGGGCTGTCTGCCCACCACCCCATGCACACGGAAAGAGGGAATTGGATTACACTAGGGAAAAGACATGCAAGCAATACAAGCACTATCCTCTGAAGTAGCCCATTACTTGGAAAAAATGAAATGGTATTGGTTCACCATTTTTTTTACCTAACAGGATGCAAAGAATAGAATACAGTTTAGATAAATGCAAAGAGCCCTTCCTGAGATCCCAAACCTTGGAATTCACAGAAAGACTTAAATAATGAGAGGAGAGTGCGGTGGAAATGGTAAAAGAAACACCAGGTCTGTTCTTTAACATACAAAAAGGGAAAAAGTCTGACTCAGCATAATGATAGGAATATTTTTACGATTCCGTGTGTGTTTACACCTATGTGTAGATGTTCAGGGAGGCTAGCTCCACTGACTTTAAGGGCAGTTGTGAACTGATGTGAGTGCTGGGAACCACAGCCCTGTCCTCCAGACAAGCAGCAAACACTTGTAAAAGCTGAGCCATTTCTCCAGTCCTCAGAAGTGGTCTCACTGTGGTCCAGCGATAGGATTTTCAGAGACTGTTACAACATGGGCTGGTGCTTTGCATTTGATAATTATTTCGCTTCCCAAGGTCTGCTTGCTGTCTTTTATGAGCAGACTTTCCAAAATGCTTGTGTGTAACCTTACCTCCAAAGTATCCCTGATTGGCTGAATAAATGCCTACACCTGGGCAGGTCAGATGTTAGGTAGTTGGGGCCAAGGTTAATGGGCCTGGAGGACAGGAGGATCACAGAAAAGGGACCAGAAGAGAAAGAAGACAAAACAGAGTTGCCATGGCTTAGCATAAAGAACCACGAGGCTGGGAAGACTTGCTCTGAGGTTTGTCGTGAAGAGATGCAGCTCAAATAAAAAGCCTGAGCAAGTATTTGTGGGAATGGGGAGTAGCCTCAATAGAAAAACAACAGTAAATGGCATGGGATGTGGGGCTGGGAGTTAACAAGGTAATACAGGGGGTTTGTCTGCCCAGCCCCAGGTTTAAGGAATATTAACAATCTAACAGGTATTTATGTCTTTTATTGATATGATAGCAGAACAAAGAATAACCACCATAATGGATTAACAATAAAAATCAATAACCAGTTTTCTATAAGATAATGCTCTGCATCTAAATGGTTTGAAGTGGAAAGAACTGTGCACAATGAATGAAAGAGCCCCTCACAGATAGGATCAGATTACGCCAACCTGGAGTAGAGACACAGAAACAGAACTACCCACTCTGCCTTGAGACATTCCTGCCTAATCTGTGGGAACACAAGGGACGGAAGTCTCTCACGGACTGGCTCATATAAACCATCACTGTCACAAGACATCCTTTTAAATTGTTTTGTTTAGTTGGTGTGCATGCATATATAATTTGCCATGGCTGTGTATGGAGGTCACAGGAAAACTGTAGGTTGTCTCTTCTGTGTACCATGTGGCTCAGGGATCAAACTCAGGGTTGTCATGAGGCTTGATGACAGGAACTTTTATGAACCTTCGCTTTTCCATACCACCCGAAGAAGGGACTCTGGACTATGCATGAGTTGGCCTGCGTATTCCTGTGAGAGCTTATAAACCCCAGCCTGCAGCTGGCGATTATTCACCCCTCTGAAGGTGCCACCCTGGCACACACATTTTGTGGCTAAGTGAGAGTAAATCCTGAGCTCGCATCCTGGGTATGGTCTATTCCCCATCTTCTTCCTTATTTGTTTTAATAAATACTAAGAATGCTTAAAAGGAAAGAAAAGAATTTCAGAGGCTGGCAGGCAGAATGCCACATTTCCTCAGTTTGCCTCTTCTGTTGTATGTCAGTGTTCAGTTTAACTTTTCCACTCATCTACACTGGTACAATACCTTGAAGCTTGGCCACTTGTTATCACTAAATGTTAACACTGATGTGGGCAAGGCTCAACATGAGGAAAATGGCAAGTCAGAAAGTATGCTGAGGCCTGGGCTCTGACAGCAGCTCCTAACATGAAAAGGGAAACCTCCAAAATGAAGACACTCCTAGGCTTAACGACTCTGGAAAGCCATTTAGAGTATTTGTGTGACTGGGGGTGGATGAATTCTGTTATTAGAGAACACAATGTGGCAGTTCCAGGGCAGACGTCAACAAGTGTCCACTACAGGTAAGAAACCAACATCCCACCAAAGTAATGATCTCACCAAAGACCAGGCTGGAGAACAATGATTTTATTGGGGTTTACTTACAATAGTGTGAATACAGGATCACTTACAGGAGTATGGGTAACTCAAAGTCAGTTGCATCACCAAAAAGTACGCCGAGAAAGGGTGATCACTCAAAAACCGTCCACCCTGCAGCTGCTCCTTATACAACTTTCAGGCAGTTACAATATTTACAAAATTTAATTAGGTACTTCATTGCTTATTATCTTATGTTTTCTTTTATACACTTATTCATATGAGTAAAGTTAGAGTTGAAAAGGAGACATTACAACAGACAGTAAATGAAATCCAGACAATGATTTGAGGATACTTTTTGAAACTTATATTACAATAAGCTGAAAAACCAAAAAGAGTAATTTCAAGACATATATGAAATATCAAATCAGGTCAAAAGTTTGAAGTTCTATAGACCCCCCTCCAAATATTATAGGCTGTCGTTACTGTACTTGGTGACCACACAGAGCTTTACGGTAAGACTGCATCACTGAAGACACCACATGCTCTGTCAGAGCACATGAAGAAACTGACCTTAGACTGACCTAAGGGCTGCTTCTACTGGCTAGCTTCCACAGCACTGGAAGGTGCTGTGCGTACTTACCCAGGGAGAAGACTGGACATCAAGTTTACCCAGCTGAGAACCCTCTGAGAAACAGTAGCGATCACTCTAACAAGACACAGCCATGAGTACAGCATGAATGTTCAGATAACCAAACACTTTTTGACTGGACTTAAGGACCATTCCACACTCTACAAGATGAAACTCTTGTCTGGCACCATTAATGTGGAGAACTTTGTACGAAGCTACTCTCAGTTTGTTGAAAGGTATCTTTAGTCCCAAAGACAAGCTTATCTCTCAACCGTCATCACAGAGGCTGGCTTGTTTTTGTTTGTTTTCTTGTTTTTGCAGTCGATGGCAATTAATGGAGACTCACAACTGGCTCCGCTCTAAATGGGACATCTACCTACATCACATCCCTTCTCTCAAAGGACCAGCGATCATTACAGATGAGGATGCAGAAAGAGTGTGAGCGCTGGATCGTAGATTCTGGACGCGACAGGACAACTGCGCGTTGTTGACAGCTCTGACTGCATACACAGGATCAAGCCAGACAGAAGCCCCAGCGTGGAGAGCTGAGGTGTTCAGAAAGGCCCACTCCTGGGCAGCTAGCGACAACTGAAGACTGCTGGGAGAGGGAGAGTCAGTTTTCCTCAGGGAGAAGCTACTCATGCCACAGAAGATGGCCCTGCACCCATGTATACACTGGCAGTATTAAGGAGACTACAAAGGTTAAAAACAAAAGAACAAACTGAATTGAGAGGGACAGTGGTGGAAGGTATAGAAGAATGAGGGAGAGGAATGGGAACAGGTGGCTTGATGAAAATGTATCATGTGCATGTATAAAATTCTCAATCAGTAACAAAACAAAATAAACAGATGAACAAAATAAATCAATGGAATGTGAACAATGTAAAAGAGCAACATAATTAAGCTAGAAATGAATTTTGTCTCAAGGAGAGCCGACTTGACCAATTCCCTACTGAATTCTACCAAGCTTCCCAAACTATTTCACTAACTATAAAGGGAAGAGACACTAACTAATTTATTCTTAGACAGTGTCACCATGATATCAAATCCCTGAAGGGCTGAACAAAGGAGACTTCAAAACAACTTCCTTGATGAAAAACAAAACAAAAATCCCTCAAAATTATACTCTCAAACCAACTCGACATATTAAAAATATCACAATCCATCAGGTTGATTTCATAGCATGTTTTTCACAGATATCCATCAGTGAATCTAATAGAGAATATTGATATTCAAGGACTGAAATCATGTGATCACCTGAATACATAGGAAAAGGAACACATCTCATTGTAACAGGTGCTATAAATGACAAACTAAAGCCAATATTACACCAACAGGGAAACTAAAAGCACTTCTTCAACAATCGAGAACATAAAAGTGTCCACCTTCTCAACGCTGCTATATACACCTCAAATCCTTAGCTCGGAAACTTAGGGAAAAGAAGGCAAGGGATCCAAGTGAGCGGTCGCACCTCAGAGGTGCAGCACTTGCCTACCACACACACACTCCTAGGCTCAATCCTGAGCGCCGAGGAAAGAAAAAGGAAGTGAAGGAAGCCAAATCTCTACTTGTAGACAATATGACCATCTTAAAAAACAAACAAACAAACAAACCTACTTTTATTACGTGTGTAGGTGTTTTGCCTGCAGGCCTGTCTGTGTACCATGTGCATGTCTGGTTCCCCAGAGACCAGAAAAGGGTGCTGGGTTCCTTAGAACTGGACTTAGAGTAGTGGGGTGCCATGTAATCAAGCTTCAGTCCTCTAGGGGAGGAGCCAGTGCTCTTGGCTGCTCCTCTGATCATATTCTCAAAAAGACCCAAACTGCCACACCAAAAGACTCTACATCCGATCATTACAAGACAGAAAGCCAAATTCACCTACGAATAAGCTGATGAAAGGAGTACATAATGATTTAAAAACACCGAAGAATTGAAGGCTCTGAAAATGGAAAACATTCCTATGCTCACAAATCAGCACCATTATAGTATCAAAAAGTGTAAAGCGGTCTTCAGACTCAATGACACCCCCCCCCCCAAATTCTGGCAGCTGGGTGTGGTGGTGAACGCCCATGCCTTTAATCCCAGCACTTGGGAGGCAGAGGCAAGCAGATCTCTGTGAGTTCGAGGCTAGCCTGGTCTACAAATAGAGATCCAGGATAGCCAGGGCTACATATAGAGAAACCCCATCTTGGAAAAAGAACTCCAATGCCATTATTTACAGAAACAGAAAACACAAAACTGTAATTGTAAGAAAGCCAAAATATCCCAAATATTCAAAGCAACACTGAGCAAAAAGGGTAATGCTAGCTAGAGTCATTACAACACTCAACTTACATTATGCTATAAAACCATAGTGAAACAGCGTACCTTAAAAAATAGACAAATAGAGCAAGGAAAGAATACAGTTCCAAAATATCCATCAAGCCACAACCTTCTGATTTCAGCAAAGGTACCCCAACAAGAAAACAACACCATATGCACAAGAATAGCCCTAAATCCCTCTATCATTCTGTACAAAAGCAACTCAAAATGAACTAAAGGCCTTAAGGGAAGGCCTAAACAACTTGAAACTCACAGAGGCTAATCCATGGAATACATGACGATATAGGCATAGACAATGGCATTCTGAAACTAATAGTTTACTGGATGGCAAAGAGAGTGGGATTAGAGGCTCATGATTACAGTGTTAACACCCAGAGAACAGAGGCAGGAAGACTGCTCCAAATTAGCGGCTAGTCTCGGGTATACATACACAGCAAGTTCAGGTTAGTCAGGCCTACACAGCAAGAATCCATGGAAAACCAGTAACAAACAAAAACGTCCAAAGTATAAAAGAGATTTAATCATTGCAAGGAGTTAAAGAGCTTTTATAAAGAAAAAGGAAACAATTGTTAGACAAAGCTACGGAGTGGGGGAAATATCTTTGGACGCTCATTCATCTGACAAGGGAGTGATGCACAGAAACACACACACACAGTAAGCTTGAAACCACCGTAAGATACATGGAACACTTTGAGGACACCACTACAAGGAAACAAAAATTATGTTGTAAACAAGTAATTGAATCAACACATAGGGAAACAATCAGTTCGAAATGTACAAATATCCAATAAATACATGTACACTGTATCCAATAAATACAATGTACAAATACCCAATAAATACATGAAAATTCTCAACACCCTAGTGTGATTAGCTATCAAGGAACCAAGCTAAAACATGAGAATGTGAGAATGTAAGGTTGCTCCAGGAAACGTACATTAGCATGGTCACTCTGAAAACTAGAAGTATTTCATCTAAAATTAAACTATAATTGTCTTATGCTGCTGCACTGTTGTTTAGTATATAATGAAAGGAATCTATGTCAGATTATACCAGACATACTTGTACTCATGTTCATACACTGCAAATCAGTTACACTCCATTACAGAATCCGCCTCAGTACCCATCAATAGATAAACTAATTTTTTAAATGTGGTGTATATAAAATGTTGACTGTACTAGGTCACTGTTATTGGCAAAAAAATGGACAAAACTGGAGATCACCATGGAAGTGACAGTCAGGCCCAAACGATGTTCCTTCTATACAAAACAGAATTAAAAATCTAGATTTTAACAAACTAGAGAGATGAAACCACTAGTGAGTCTATTTGGGAGAACAGGACCACAGGGGAGAAGGAAGGGACAAGGAACCAAGTGACTGTGGTTAAAGTCTGCGGAAACCTGAGTGACAATGTCATCAGAAAACCTCTAACTTTGCCAACATCCACACAAACAATTTAAAAACATTAACATTAAATACAAAGAAAAAGAAACCTTCCCCAACTTTAGGAAAATAATGTGCCCAAAATGTTGATGCAGACTAGACTATGGTTTGATGGTCACTAGCTTGATTGTAAAGTGCTTTTTTCATATTTTCACTTTACTTATTATAATGTAGCCCTGTGGAAAGTCTAGGGACACCTAAACGTGGGTAACCGCATCTGTCACAGTATAGTAATATTAGTGTTTATAAAGAAACTAAGAAATGCAAAAATGATCCAGAACACTAGTGTTCATCTCATACAACAAGGCCGCATCTTCTGCCACTGATGGACATGTCCCAAGCCTCCACCAATGAGAAAGACTCCTTAATGACTATGACAGAAAGACATTCTATAAGGACATCTGTTAAACTGAAAAAAAAAAAAAAAACCCGTAAAACAGTCTGAATCAAGAAATAGGAAAGTACCTTCTACTCACTGATGGACTGACTGGCACAGCTCATGAATTACATCTCCCTTTAATCCAGACTGCAGTCTTCTGGGTAACAACCAGTTTTGTTTACAAGAGCAGAATTACAGTCACCCCTCAGTGCATCCAACACGGGGGACACTGAATTACAGCGTCTACCCTTGTAAGACCCCCTAAATTACACCAGTCCTGTCAGAAACAATATGAAGAATGCTTTCATAGATGAGCCACTCACTTATGGAGACAGTTAGTACAATTTATTGAACATGGTTTCTGTAGCAAGAAGGCAGTGTAATACCAGTATATATACACATATTTTGCTTTTTGAGACAGTTTCTCTGTGTAGCCTTGGCTTTCCTGGACACACTTTGTACACCAGGCTGGCCTCAAACTCTGAGAGCTGGCTGCCTCTCCCTCCCAAGTGCTGAGACTAAAGGTATGTGCCGCCACCGCCCCGGCAATACCTCTATACCCTAATGCAATGACTAGGGAAATTATAATGAAAATGAAAGATACATAAAAACAAAATTTACACAGTAAAATCACATAATCACACACATTTGACAGTAAGAGCTCATGACATAAAAGAAAAGCTAAGCACAAATTGACAACAGCCTGGCCTACTAGAAAGTTTCAGGCTAATCAAGCTACATAGCATGACCCAGTCTCAAACAAACAAACAAGCAAACAAACAGATATCAAGTTTCTGCCATCCACTGAGCTCTTGGCACCAAGAGACCTTGGGTGCTGTCAACTTTGGTCAGAGAAGCTTCTTTTTACAGTGGCCAGCTGTCAACGGAGAGATGCGTAACTGGTCAAAGGGCTAAGCACAGGCTGAATGTTCACGAGACAGCTGCATTAATCTCCACTGTGACCAAGGCTCGGTGAAAACCGAAGAAAAACAATACAAGAATACAACAGCTAGAGGGTGGGGAGGAGCGCTGTGACGTGGTTGTTATAGTCACGGCCTCACAGCAACTGTGACTGCATATACAAGACATACAGCGTAAGCTTAAGCAAGCCCAGATCCAAGCACCGAGGGGCAGGTCAGCTCCAGGCCCATCCCCCTGACAAGCTACTGGCAGTGAATAGCCACTGGGGTGTGAAGATGTAACTACCAGCAGGTCACCCATCCTCCACACCCATGCATGTATGAGAAGCACTAACAGACAAAGTTAACAGGGGGGTGTTAGGGAAAAACAGGGAGGGTGAGAAGAAGAAATAGTGGGGACATAAGAGTATCATTTATTCCATGCGTGTATAACATTCTCAAAAGGAAAAAATAAGCCAACTTGGAAAGATGATCTGACCTATGATTAAACCCTAACATTTGCTATTCTAAAAGTATTTTGAAAATACTTAAAAGAACATGTACTCAAGGTCTGTGTGAGAACACATCAGAAAGAAACAAAACACAGGAGACAAAATCAATTGGAAACTGGTTTGGGCCTGAGGTGGTGGCACACCTGGGTAATCCTGGCACTCCAAGAGGCAGAGGCAAGCAGATCTCTGTGAGTTTGAGGCTAGCCTGGTCTACAAAGGAAGTGTGGGACAGCCTACAGTCTCAAAAAACCAAAAAAAAAAAAAAACCATAACAAAAAACAGCTGGGAATAAGTGTGTCTGTACAGCCAGCAATGTGGGGAGCAGAGAGACAAGAAATGCTGGGTTCTGCTGACTGTCTGCCCAGCCAGGTTCAGTGAGACCCTGTCTTAGGGGAATAACAGCAATAGACCAAGGCACCCAGTATATTACTTTGTTCACACTGTGAACACCGCCAACACAAAACCATACCAGCAACCACAGAAACAATGGCCCCCAACACACACATGCACGCACACACATTTTTAAAGTGTTTTTTTTTTCATGAAAAATAAAGAGTATACACAAAATGCTTATAATCAGCCAAATGAAACCAACAGAACTATTTCAATATTCACAAAGTCATTTTTAAATACTTACTAAACATGATTGAAAAACAAGACACTTATGCCAGGGCTGGAGGGATGGATGGCTCTGCAGTTAAGAGTACTTACTACTCTATCATTAAGACTAGGATTTAGATTCCATTACACATGTCAAACATGTCATGTTGGTAATGCCAGATCAAAAGACATGATACCATCTTCTGGCCTCTATGGGCATATACCTATACATACAAGGCTAATACATAAATACTAAGCTGCTTTTTAAAGATATTTATGTGGACTGGCATACTTCAAATATCAATCACCAATGAATCCAACATAATTTACAATGATAAGAGAAGCATCTACCTTACTTGGTTTACAAAAAAAAAAAAAAAGCATCACCCATTAAATTAATACATGATTGCTTTAAGATAAATTTAATAAAACACACTTTGTATTCCTGTCAATTTTCCATATGTAGGTCTTACTAGTCTCCACTCATGGGTTTAAGCTGCCATTCCACATTACACAATGCTCTGCTTAATGCTTACTTTTGTAGAGCTAAAACTTAGAATCAAGTCAAGAGATGACTCTTAAAGCAGGAGCTAACAATGGCGAATGTGGAGGCAGGGGCATTTCATTACACAGTCAAGATCTAGAAGCTGGAACAATACCAGTTCCAGGACAACCTGGGATACACAGCAAAGGCTTTTCTGAAAAAAATAAAATTTGATTTTATTTTTATGTGTACAGTAAATTTATGCTGTGTGTGAGCAAAGAATTGGATCTCCTAGAACTGGCATCACATGCCGTCATGAGTCATGTGATCCGGTGCTGAAAACCAAATTCAGGTCCTTTGAAAAAGCAGCAAAAGCTCGTAAAGGCTAAGCCATCCCTCTCAGCCCCTGAAATTTTCCAATAAATACAAAATACTGTACTTGATAACATTCTCTTCAGAGTGTGCATTTCCAAGAGCATGCTACAAAAAAATTAGTATGTCCAGTTCTTCATAATACTGATATTTATCAGATTAAGCACGAAAAAATTCAAAGGACTTTTCCTATATTTGCTACTGCTCTAGGTTTTCCAATGCTTTTCAACAGCAAAGGTTTTCATCTGGTGTCTGTTTCCATGTGTGCCAAATGAAACCTTGAACACTTCTTTCAAGCAAATTAGCACTCCATATCAAGTTCTTTCCTTATGTGTTAATTGAACCAGATGGTGTTCACAGAGGTTTTCTGCTGATAGGAATTCTCCCCGTGCACATTCTTGTGCTATGAGGATAATGAAGAGTTCATAAATCCTGTTTTTAAGGTTTCTCTATAGGAGGTTCTTCCATGTCTGTGAGGATACAGTAACTGAAGACTAGCTAAGGTTGCCTATATATGAAGGGTCTCTCTCCACAGTGACTCCTTCCATGTATTCAGAGGGAATGGGGACAAAAATGAAGGCTTTTTTTTTACAACACCTTATATACACATAGTTTCTCTACAGCATGAGTTTTCTCATGTCTCTTCCACGATCTGGAACTGCAGAAGGCAATTTACCATATTGCTTACAGTCACAGGTCTGTTTCTCTTTCATGTATTTCAAGGAACTTTAAGCTCAAAAACTGTACATTGATTTAAAAAAAAGAAGTTTCTCTCCACTGTGACATTTCATGTTTGTTTCAATGAAACAAATAAAAAGGTTTTTCCACATTGCTAGCACAAATCCAGTTTTTCTTTATCCAGTGTGAATTTTGCTTATTTCTATGAAAGTCACCAAGACCCTTCCCCCAACTTTTTTCTCACATTACTAAAAAACACTGGGATCCAGGGTAGTGTGAAGTAATTCATGTCTATGCAAATGGTTCAAAGTGAAGAAGAGTTTGCCACAGTACTTACAATTAAAAGTTTCATCATCAATGTGTATTTTTTCGTGCACCTCAAGATGGCTATAGTAAGGGAAGGCCTCCCCACACTGTTTGCACACGTGGGGCTTCCCATCACTATGAGTTTTTTCATGTCTTTGAAGGGAGTAAGACCAAACGAAGGCTTTCCCACACTGCTTGCACTCATAGGGCTTCTCGCCAGTGTGGATTCTTTCGTGTGTTTTCAGCGACCTAGAAGAAGTGAAGCTTTTCCCACACTGCTTACAAACATAGGAAACTGGGACACTGTGAAGTGCTTTGTGTTTCTGAAACTGACTCCAAAGCACGAAGGCATTGCCACACTGCTCACAGATGTAAGGTTTTTCTTCCGCGTGAGTCTGCTCGTGTTCTGTAAGGTCAGTGGAGCTAGCGAAGGCAACCCCACATTGCTTGCACACATAGGGTTTCTCCTCAGTGTGAATTTTTACATGCCTTTGAAGGGAAGCAGAACGAGGAAAAGTCTTCCCACAATGATTACACACATAGGGCTTCTCACCAGTGTGAATGATTTTATGTCTTAAAAGCGAATTCAACCGAGTAAAGCTATACCCACACTGGTCACACACATAGGGTCTCTCCCCCGTGTGAATTCTCTCATGTGTTCTCAGGGAACCAGAACAAGTAAAGCTTTTCCCACATAGCTTACAAGCATAGGGTTTCACACCACTGTGAATTATTTCATGTTTTCGTAATTGAATCCAACGCATGAAGGTGTTCCCACACTGCTTGCATTCATACGGGGTTTCTCCAGTGTGAATTCGTTCATGTATTCGAAAGGAACGATAAGTAATGAAGGACTTGCCACATGGTTTACATACATAAGGTTTCTCTCCAGTGTGAATTCTTGTATGAATTTGAAGAGAACTATAATGACGTAAGGTCTTCCCACAGTAATTGCACACAAACAGGTCCCTAACGGAGTGAGTTCTTTTATGTGTTTTAAGGGAACGAGAATGAGCAAAGGTTTTCCCACACTGCACGCACACATAAGGCTTCTCCCCAGTGTGAATTCTTTCATGTGTCTGTAGGTAGGTGGGGAAAGCAAAAGCTTTCCCACACTGCTTGCATATATAGCATTTCTTTGCACGATGGCGGCGTTCGTGCCTTCGAAAGTACCTGGAGGAACTGAAAGCTTTCCCACACTGCTTACACTTAAAAGGCTTGTCTTCAGTCAGAGTCTTCTCAGGACCCTGGCCGTACCTATAGTCTTCATTACATTGCTCAGTCTTATACAGTCTCTCGAGTGTGTAGGTACTTTCATAGTTCTCAAACGGCGGAAAAGAACTCGAGGTGGCCCCAAATTCCATGCCATACATTTCCCTTCCATATTCCTGATCGTCATAGGATTCACGCTGTGCATCAGGCTTAAGGAGCACACTCAGAGATAAATGGCCAATGACTACTCTTGCGCACCCACTGTTTTCACAGATATATACGCCTGGTAAGGAGTTGTGGTTTACAATACTGTGTGTTGTGAAGTCAAAAAGTTCTGCACATTGATGATCTTCTTTATAGTCATACAGTCCCTCCACCACTTGACCACTGTAAGAGAGCAAATGGACATCACTCATAGTTTATGAACTTCTTAGCAGTAGTTCTGAATTCAATGCTGTCAGAATGTTTTCACATATTTGCCTGAATCCTCAGCAACTCTGAGGACAACTGTAACAAAAACAGTAGTATTCACAGGTGACTGTTTTATATCACCTACATGTCTACCAAACATGTCTGACAAAGCATTAAAATACATGTTTCAATTCCTGACACTATCTTGGCACCTGTGGAGGCCTGCTAAAAACAGGACATCCAAAAGGCAAGTTATGCCTGAAAGGTTGTGGTGCAGGGCCATTCTTGCTGGCTATAATAAGCATGGTCACCGGAACCAAAGAAAGCACATGGCTCCTCTTAACATTGAAGGATTTTTATCCCTAACATGAAACCAAATTCGACTTAAGCAAGAGATGTGCTTTATGTGTATAAAGAAAGAAAAAAAAAAGCCCCTCCCTCCCCCCACCAAAAAAAAGAGTAATCTGGGGAAAGGTAATTTAGATCCATGAAACAGTGGTATGCTTCACGGCAAATTCTGAAAAAACTTGCTGCAAAGGCCATTGGACACAGAGTCCATGCGATGCTGTACTCCTCACAAAGCTAAACTAAAAATAAAGAAATAGACAAAGGTGAATTTGTAAACAACAGCAACAATTCTCAATACTATAATGCTGATATAGCATACAAATGACCACAATCATGTTACATTTTGAACTACTTGAAAGTTCACAGTGAAATTTTTATATTTAGTCCAAGCCTAAAAAGACACCTTATTTTTTGACTACTCTATACATCAGGTTTGTGAATAAGTAAATATTTACATTCTAATAATACTGTATGGAACAAAGTTGGCACATATCACACTATGATAAAAATCACTTTGGGCATAATAATGTTCCAGTACTGGAACTCTTATATTATTTTCAGAATGCTGATGTTCAGTATGTTTCCAGTTTGGAAGAAAATTTCCTAAGAGTGGTTGAGTTTGAAACTGGATGTGCCTGTGTCTTTCACTACTTTGTAAAATGTACAGCCATGCAACTCTTGAGGATCACGCTCTCTCTTGAGGTCCGTATTACCTTAGCTTTCTCCAGGAATTTCGGTATATATTTGCAATGATATGGTGCTCCAAACTATTTCCTAAAATATAAACCAAGTATTATAAATTAGATCATAGCATTAATAGATTATTATATATTATTAGCATTATGAGTATTATTAGTATTAAAGATTATTAGATATTAATAGATTCTAGCAAAAGTTGCAATATAAAGTGTTCCATCTCACGCAATCATTCAAATGTCTCTTTACCATACCAAATGCTTTTTCTTTGATTGACTAATTAATGGAATGGTGACATACTTACCTACAGTGGCCAGGTTCCTCAAGGTTTCCTGCATTACATCTTTGTAGAGGTTCTTCTGGTATGGATTCAGCATAGCCCACTCCTCCAGGGAGAAGTTCACAGCCACATCCTCAAAGGCCACTGACTCCTAAAAGTACACACATATTTCCACAAGGAAGTGTGAGCCTCAGTACTGGAGATCTAATTTTAATTCATAAGATGCAAATAAGATACATCTGTGTGTCATACACCCTACGAATCTTTCACACAGTAATTCTGACAGCAGGTTGGAGCTATCCGGTAAAGCACAACAGGCGAGGAACACCCTTGTTCCAGTATATGTGCTCACCTCTCCTGTACATTCGTTCACTGCAACAGTTACAATTAATTCTGATTATCTAACCCAGTCAACACCAGCTGCTCCAAGACTGCATATTCTTACAAATGTAGAAGAAAACAATTTGACTTCTGGTATCTGCAACTGCTGTTCACACGGATTCCTCTCCCACCCAACTGTTAAGAAGGGAGTAGCTTTCCCAAATCACATGCTACTTTTATATCTATTTTCTCTCAAAATTCTTGTAATGTTTTTAAGCGCTCGTCAGAGAACAGAGGGATTAAAGAACCAACATTTACTGCTGGTTCCTGATGAAGAAACCCAATGTGACCAGGTACCTCAAGCTCTTCCTGCAATGCCTTCTGAGTCATGATTGTTTGTACCTTATAAGCCAAAATGGCCTATCCTCCCTCAAAACTTCTTCTCAGGGGGCTAGAGAGATGGCTCAGTGATAAGAAAAACATGCTGCTCTTGAAAGGACCAGAATGCTAGCTGTTTCACCCCAACTTGACACTAGCTAGAGTTGTTTTGAAAGAACTATTACCTCAACTGAAAAAAATGCTCCCAGAGCCAGGTGTAGTGACGCATACCCTTAATTCCAGCACTTGGGGGCAGAGATAGGTGGATCTCTGTAAGTTTCAGGACAGCCAGGGCTATACGGTGAGACTCTGTCTTGGAAGAAAGAAAAAAGAAAAAGATGCCCCCATCAGATTGGCCCATGGACAGACCTGTGATATATTTTCTTGATTGACTGATGTGGAAGGGCACAGATCACTGTGCCACTCCTTGGCAGTTGGTCCTGGGTGCTATAAGAAAGCAGGCTGAGCATGTGTCGGGGAGCAAGCCAGTGAGCAGCACCCCTCATGGCCTCTGCATCAGCCCCTGCCTCCAGGTCCCTGTCCTACATGAGTCCCTGACCTAGTACTCTCAGTGATGGACGGTGATGTGGAGCTGTAACCTGAAGCAAACTCCTTCCTCTCGAGGTTGCTTTTAGTTACAGTATTGTACCACAATAGGAACTCCAACCACATCACAGGACTGGCAACCACCCGGATCTCCAGTTCTTGAGGATCTGATGCCCTCTATTGGCACCTTGCATGTGTGAGCATTCGAGAGTACACAAATACATACACACACACACACACATACACCAAAATAAATCTAAACAACTACAAGCAAACAAACAAACAGCACAAAACATTTCTTCTTAGGAGTTTTGCCACAGGCACTAGACACAAAACTGATCACGGGCAATTCATTATTAGAGAACGTCAGCAGCCAATGAAAAAGGATGGCACATGTTCTTGAAACAGCTCTAACCATCATGTCACCTGTCACAGCCATGTACAAAATTCTATAATTTTTATAACAAACTTTTAAGAAGTGTGACAGTTAATGTTAACTGTCACCTTACAGAATTTATAATCACCTAGGACATAAGCCTCTGGCACATCTGTGAGTGACTACCTAGATTATGTTACTTGCTATGAGAATAAGCAACTTAAGTGCAAGTAGTGATTTCCCCTGAGCAGGGGATCTTGAATTGTCTAACACAAAGAAAGGGAGCTAAGCATCAGTATTTATTCAGTACTTTCTGCTTCCTGTTTGTGGATGACCTGGGCAGTAGATCCAAGCTCCTGACACCCTGACTTCCCTGCCATGAAACTCAGAATGAATCCTTTGTCCAGTTACTTTTACCAGGGTATTTTATCACAGCATCCAGGAAACCAAGACAGAAAATTGGTACCCTCTACTGGAGCTGTTTATGTGATGAATACTACTACCTTTGGCATTGTTTGTAGGAGGAACATGGAAAAATTTAGTATTTGGGTTAGAAAAGCCCTTGAATGCCAAAAGCAGCACTCAAGAGCCATGCTTGTGAAAGCCTGAAGAACAACAATGCGGAGAGCAGTGTCACTGATAAAAGCATCAGTGTCACTGGAGGAAAACTTAGTGCAACACAGTAGAATAACAATAAGCCTGAGGCAAAACCAGAGGCTCCAACCTGAGGTGGCAGCAGAACTTGGCACTGCCATCCACACGGTACCAGTTTTGAAGGAAATGAAGGACGCAAGAAAAAGTCACAAAACAGCTGAGGCTGGCACCACTTAACAAAGTCAGCGTTCCTGCAAAGTGGCTGTGAGAAGTCACTGTGTAGAGTTCTGAAGGTGACATCTAAGTGACACTGGAGACCACAGAACACCAGCTTTGACATGTCTGCCAAGGACGGCTACAGGCACTGAGAGCAGCCAGTCCAAGAGATAGACTGCATGAGACTACTAGTGGCAGAGCTGGAGTTGTGGGGTTAGCCACCCTTTGGAACCCAAGCAATTTCGTCAGGAGTTAGATTTTGGCCACACAGACATCGGATTTGGTGTTTGTCTCCCTGGATTTGCATCTTGCTTTGTTCTAATCATAATTTTCTATACCCCAATTCTTCCATTCTGCCATAGGAATGTTTACTCTGGGCTTCTGTATATGGGAAGCATGTGAGGCTGGAGAGATAACTCAGCAGTTAAGAGCACTGGCTTCTCTCCCAGAGGACACAGGCTCAATTCTCAGCACGCACATGGCAGCTCACAACTCCAGGGAGCTAGCGACACCTTTACACAGTTATCCATGCAGGCAAAGCATCAACACACAAAAATATAGATACACAGATGTATAGACTGAAAGTGGGTAGCTTAGCTTTTATTTTATTGGAGTTCACAGTTAAGATACTTTGGAATTTCAAATTATTTAAACAAGCTTTATAACTACGGAAAGTTTCTGGTGTCAGAATAAATGCATGTTACACTGTGAGATAGTTATAAGTCTATGGAGAATGCGGTGGAAGGTTATGGCTTAAAAGTACCAATCAAGTCTCTATGTCAATTTGACAAAGGCTGGAATTATGATGGTTAATATTCATTATCAACTCCACAGACTCTAGAATCATCCAAGAGACACTTCTCCCTGTGTACCTACGAGACATTATCTAGACTGAGGTTAGCCCTGGAGAATGTCTCTGACAGATTATACTGGTTACGTTAACCAATGTAGACACATTTACTGTGTTGTCGGTGGGCAGAGGATTGTGACTGTATGAAGTGAAGACAGTGTTCTGTTTCCTGACTGGATGGTGCAGGCATCGACTTCAGGCGCTGTTGCCTTGACTGCCCAATCACAGTGATATACTCCAATATGAGTGCCAGAGTAAACCCTTGGTACCTGAACTTGTCAGGTTTGTATTCAATCAAAGCTATAGGAAAAATAACTAATTAATATAATAAAACCTACTTAAGTAGTTGAAATAAATGTCAAAGTTATTTCCTATTTAGGTAAGAAAATAATCGTTTGCCTAACAAAAACGAAAGACTAAAATTACAGCAATCACAGCACTAAAGTATCAACACAGACCTAGACAAATACGCGGCCTGGGGAAATCAGTCCTTACTCGGCAACCGTGAAACAGAAGAACCGACTATCAAGTAGAGATAACATATCAGAGACAAAAACCACCTAAGACAAAGATAAACTGGCAAACTTGGAAACATGCAAATATATTTTCCTCTACTCCATGGACAACAATCAAATATGCACTCTTAAAAGTCATAGTCAGCATGGCTGAAATAACGCAGAAAAATTATCCTAGCATTTGGGAAACTGAGGCATAAAAGAATGTAATGTTCATGGCTACTCTGGATATTTTTTTTGTCACAAAAAAGCCTGAAATGAGACTTTTGGGACACATATATATAAACACTCAAAGCAACAATCCCCCCTCCCCCCCCCAAAAAAAAAACCAAAACCAACACGGCAGGCCCATAATATGGGTGGGTCACCGGGTAAAGGTACCTTCTACATGTCTAGCAACCTGAGTTTGACCCCCCAGAACCCCGATGGTGGAAAAAGAAAATAGAAATTGTTTTCTGAGTTCCATATACACGTCACAGCATATAACATACACACACTCAGACGGGAATAGGCAAATGAGAAACAACAAAAGACCCCAAGTGACAAAGTCTGTCCGAGTTCAGCAGTAGACAAAGCCTTATACTTTAATGATACATTAAGAGAACCTTCATTTATTCAACTGATTTTTAACTCCTGTTTAAAAATAAGTCAGTTAATTTGTTTTTTTCCCCTATGTTTTATAATACTGAAAAACCACCAATAAAAAGAATTCAGTAGGGAACAGACAAATGGATATAAATGTTAAACATATGTTTAAACAGATTTAAACAGTATTTTTCTTGTTTTACATTCCATCTATCTATGTATCTATATATCCATCCATCTATCTATCTATCTATCCATCTATCTATGTATCCATCTATCTATGTATCCATCATCTATCTATCTATCCATCTATCTATGTATCCGTCTATGTATCCATCCATCTATCTATCTATCCATCTATCTATGTATCCATCCATGTATGTATGTATGTATGTATGTATGTATGTATGTATGTATGTATGTATCTATCTATCTATCTATCTATCTATCTATCTATCTATCTATCTAT